ATGAATACCTCAGTTCTAAGCCATGTTAAAATAAAGGACACAGCAGATAGTTTGTTCTATAGGTAGTTATAATAGATGACAAGAACTACCAAAAACAAAAAGGTGGCATGTGGCTTTTATATAGAAAAAGCAATTTCAGTAATCAGCAACAGTTTTCATAGATATTCCTTATTAATCCTTTCTTGCAAATATGGCATTATAACACATTGTGACTATTGTATCATGATTTATAGATACTCAGTATCTTAAGGTGCCTCACTCTAAGAGGAATTTATAACAAAGCAAAATAGCTACAAATTCTTTTACACAGTTGGAAGACAATCACAAAAAGTTAATGTAAAATATTTTTTTAAAAAATCCTACCCCCCTCAAACTGAGATTTTTCCACAAAGTTCTAGTGATTGATATACCCAAATTAATTAGCTGAAGACTATTTACAAGTAAACATGTTAAAGAATGATTTATAAAAAGAAAGCTTGTATTTTAAAACCTTAACTTGTTCAAACACTTCATAGGATCGCTTATAAAATATTCAAGCAAAGCATTTAAACAAATACTGGGTCTTACCAAAATTATTGCCAAGCGTCTTTATGAATTGTGTGAAAATTTCAAATATTTCAAAAATGCCTTTCCTATTTAAAGCCACTAATTTAAAATATTGTTCATATCAATACAACTGCAGTTTTAGCAAGATATTGATAATATATTGTACTCACATATGAATGAACAGAAAATAACAAACAACACAATAACAGTATTTAAGTAGATTTAATTATATAGCTTAATGAAGTAAAGCATTAAGTGCAACAGAAGTACTGTGATAACACTCTCATAGGAAAGTCCAAAATATATTGACTTGTTCATTATTTCACGTAGAATGAAATGCAACAGCTTAAGTGTTGGCTCTAATATGTTATTTGCAGTATTGTACTCACAAGAGGTGAGATGCTGGTTACAAGATATATATTAAGCAAAACAAGCATGTGGTTGAAAAGTACAGAACAAAACATTAGAACAAATTTAGTTCATTACTTGTTGAAAAATTCTTAATACTCTGATATGAACATCAAACAAGATATTTCATTAACCTACAATACAACAAATCAAATACGGAGGAATAATTTCAAGCTATTAATATTACTGCAACTACTAATCCATAAATCAGGAATCAGAAATATTGTGGTAATGGGGAGGCTCTGTTTAATAAAGGTCATTATAACTCCTAGCTCCACAGCTATAAGATGTAATATCCTCTCTGGTACCTCTATGATATGCCCATGCATTACTGTTCTTGTTGACAGTCTGTTGCCTTGGAAATATTTCATTATTTCAGTTTTTCCATTTGTAGACCCTTGGCCTTGTGATATGAAGGCCACCCTATTTCATATTTTCGATTATCATTTAAGCAATCTTCTGGAGCTATTTATATAAAAGCAAGTGTTAGACAATGCATATCATCATTTATCATTGCTGTGTTTAAGCATATACTGTAGAAAGAAATACCAAAAAATGAACAGAGCTTTGTTCCACTTACTTTACAACAGAAGCACAGCAATAGGGTTTACAAATCACTACAGACACATCTTATGCATTACATTTGTGTCTATTTAAAGAACATTCCTATGCATATCTACTGAAAATGAGCCCCACTGAATTCAATGGTGATTACTTCCAGGTGATTGTGTATAAGATTGAGTTCCTAAGATATAACAAGAAAACTGCATAACATTTGAAACTGTTTGTTAACACAATGTATTTTAACACGAAAAATATATTAAACTCAAGTCCATTGTTTTTTCCTGTCCCCAAATAATAAAGTTTGAATATTAACGACAGCTACTAAACATCAAAGTTTTAAAGACTACCTTACCAACTACTCTATTAGTATTTATAAAAGTTTAATATATTTGACTTCTACTCAACAATTATACTATTAATATATAACAACTAAATAATACTAAAAATCTGCCATACTGTCTTTTAAGCAAGCACTGCATGTTAGTTTTATGATCTGAAGAATATAATTTATTTCAATAAGATGTGCATCAAACTCATATATGTGAATATATCATATATATAAAATGACTGATTTCAGTCATTTCAATTCAAAAAGGGTGCACAAAATTATTGCCTTAATCCGTATTACAATTTGCAGATTAGTAAAAAGAAACAAGCCAAGAGAGTAGTTTTAATTAATACTAAAACATAAAGTGTATATTAAGAAAATATTGAGCATTTAATCTATTGAAATATAATTCTATTCTTCAAAGTACTGTGAAGCAGCAACAGTTTGACATACCATGTCTTATTCAAGCCCCTGAAATAATTCATGTATAATTTCATCATAAACTAGTTGGAGCACAATAAGCAGTGACAATAACTTAGGCCTCAGGGCATAAAACAATCTGGACACCAGGGCAAGCTTTGGGTTATTGGTCGTTCATGAATTAAAGTTACCCCCACCACTACCCGTTAAAATTATTACTCATTCCACTCCCTACACAGGATAAAACTACTCTGATCCAACCTTTAAGATGACAGCATCAGAGCTGAACAAGAATATGTTATTAAAGGGCATTAAATTAAATACAGTATATCCTCCTACAACTTCAATCAGAATTTCAGACCAAGTGTTATTTAGTACAGCTCTCAAGTGAAGCAGAATAACAAATTGCACACTTTGATTTACCTTCTTCGAATGCCAAATGGAGACAGGTGATAAAGAAAGCACTCATGCACAGGCTATGAAGTTTCCCCTAGAAATTAATTCTATCTTCAAGATTCCTATCTCAGAAAAATTCCCAAAATGGCACACAAATATGCCTCTGCTGCAGAGATTACTGAAGCTGTCCCAGCAAACATACTTATTACTAATATAGTACTAGGCTCATAAAGAATATACAACTCTCTGGTTTGGAGCCGTGGTAAAGACAGACACTGTATACCAGCAGTTATGTACAGTATTAGCTTTCTTTCTCTTGGAGACGTAGAGCTTTGCATACAGGATAACAGCACTCCTCTATAATGAATGGTAATGTACATATGCTTTTCAATCACTGGGAGACACTGAAAGTTCATAGGAAAGGAGTAATAAAGTGACTTCAAACCTAATTCCTAAACTCTATAAATATTGCCAATATTCCCAACCTGACTCTATGCAAATGTTACTGGCAGTCGTGAAATGCAACAGTTTATACCATTAAATACAAGATGAACAAATTAGAGGTATTTGGATTGATATATCTTAAGAAAAACTGAATCACCTCAAATCCAAAATACTAGCTCTGTTGCTATAGATTACATATGCAGATAAGGATGCTCTGGCAGGCACATGCAAATTTAAATTCACTCCCTCCTTTGAGATGCTGCTAAAAGCTGGTTGTTGCATTCTCTAAGTATTTAAAAGCTATCAGTCTGTAATGTGTGGACGTGTTTTTTTTTAAAAAATAGATTTTAAAATAGGAAGCTTTATATCTTAACTAGCATGTGCATCAATTATGAGTTATTCAACGGAATCAGTTATGCTAAAAGTGAGCACAAGGGATGACAAATATTATATGCATACTGATCTTTCCTCATATGAAATTGAGCCTCATTTGGTAAACATCAGGTGAACTTTTTAAAGTGCACAACTTGTTCACCATCTGTACAATGTTGCACTCCAGCTATCATGTTCCTTAATTGTGATGCAATCTGTATGCCATCACTAGTTGTTTCCTATTACACTTATGATAACCATTCTCCTTATTGGCCATCTATTTTGGGGTGGGAGGCCTCCAGAGGAGAGTCAATCCTATCTGGATCAAACACCCTAATGCAGAAGTCTTCCTGATTCCTAACTCCACTTCTAGGATTGAGTATACTTATCCATAAAATACTTTGCACATACTTAGATCAGGTATCATAGGTATTAAGCCCTGGAAAATCCTACCTCAAATTATTTGACATTATACTGCAAGAAAGTTAAACTGCCTTGGTAAGGAAACCCACGTTTTTAAAAGCTTTTTTACAGCTCAAAGTGCAATTCCTTCACACTTCCATTGTTTCCAGTGGCTCATCCAGAGGTTTGTTACGTTCAATGGGCCAGGTTAGAATTTGTCTTCTTCCTCGAGGATTCCAGGTGGCATCCTTCTCTAAAGATGCACTTTACATTTTGCCTAACGCGCCAGCTGCAAGCATCTCACCAACTATAGAACCGAAGGGGAACAACAATAAAAAGGTATATCGGATGGCTTTCATAGCAAACTATTTCTTATGACTAAGCTTCTCCCGGGCAATAAGTAAGTTCACGGTTAAACCCGGGCGATTCCAAAAGGGGGGGAAAGGGAGGGAGGGTTTTATACACGCGAAGCCAGAGAGTTGTTGCTGAGCTTGAACTAAACTTGCGCCAGCAGTTTGAGTGGAGTCCCAGCAAGCTCCTCTCCCCCCTTTTCGGCCTAGCTGCACGAGCCCAGCCACTCTCTCCACTAAGCAACGCCGGGCCTGGTTAAAAGCTGTTTTCCTCTCACGCACTCCCCCCGCCCCTTTTTTTTGCTCCGTTCCAACCTGCCGTGGGTCCTCCCTCCCCCATTTGTCGAGACCCATCCAGCCGAAAAGTTGCCTCCCGGGAATTCCGCCCCACCCCCTCCCTCCCTCCGCCCCCCACCCCCACCCGTGCGCTCAGCCAGACACCGACGACTCCTCCGATGTGGGGAGGTACAAGCTCCCTCCTGCTGCTGCTGCTGCTAAGGGGGCGAGCCTAGCAAGTGTTGTGGATCCGGCAGCAGCAGCAACAACAGCAGCAGTAGTCGCCGCCGCCGTGAAACGTGCATGCACCACGAGAAACTCCCGAGACCTAGCAGCGCTAGCGGGTCCGTGGCCACCCCTCCCTCCGCTTTTCCCTTTCCCGGGCATGGAAGCCAAGTAAACCAGACCCAAGGTGGCGAGCGGCGGCAGTGGCGGCGGCGTCCCAGACCCAGGCAGGCACTGCTGCCTCGGGTTCAATATAGAGAAAGTGTTACCGTTCTCGCCTCGAAGGATCCTGTTGAAAGCTTGGCTTGGTGGGCGCCATCTTCCTGGGCTTTTTTCCCCCTTTCCTCTCTCTCTTACTTTTCCCCCTCCTTGTGTTGCTGTGTGGTGTTGTGTCTAGCGGCGGCGGCGGCGGCCCTGCTTAGACAGGCAGGAGGAGGAAAAGTAGTGAGGCCAATGCATTGCGGGCTCCCGCTCCCCGGCGCAGCAGTCCTGCCGCAGGTTGCTTCGCTTAGCTAGGCGCTGCTGCCGCTGCTGCTGCTCTGACCGCAGCCGTCCATAAGCCGAGGAGCGGAGAGAGCCTAGGCTCCGTTGCCACCGAAGACATACCAAGCCCGGCGACGAGTGGCCGGCCGCAGCTGAGTGAGAAAGCGCGCAGCCCCGATGGGCAGCCCGGCCATTGGCATCGCCCGGCAGGTGTGACTAGGCACACGGAGAGGGAGCCCGTGGGACTGGCTTTAAGCGCGAGGCCAAGCCATAAGCGGGGAAGTCAGAAGTCTCTGTTCTTCAGGCTTGGCTGCCGTGGAAGTGTTCGCGAGCATTTTCCAGCTGCTTCCCCAGCTCCGGCGCTCTGACTCTGGTGTGCAAAGGGACAGGAAAGCCTCCGCTGCCGGCGCAACAACGCCACTCAGTTGCAGTTTCGCATACTTTCCTTCTCTGGAGTAGCAGAGCCAGCAGAGGAAGAGGGAGACAGACAGAGAGGGAGGGAGGCAGACTAGGAAGCCGCAAACACACGGCCGCTGCTGGGGGAAATTCCCAGCAAAAGCCAGCGTGTATACGGGGAAGACCCGAATGCACGTGGGATAAAAGACAAAATTGGAGAACGTGTTTTTTTTAAGTGGTGTTGGGTTTTGTGTGCGTGTGTTCATACACAATCGGTACAGATTTGAGCGCGTGTGCGTCTATTAGCATACGTGCATGTCTTTATGTACACAACCTATGTGTCTCTATGGAAGAGGAGCGACATCCTTCAGCTACACGAGCTGCACATGCGTCTGACTCTTGTCCTTCGTCCAACTACCGTATACAACTGAGTGGACGTGTGACTGCGCAAAAATGGGTGTAGAATTCTATCACCGGGACGTATTGCTACCGTATTTCTTCTGGCATATCGATAGCTCACCCTGTTGGAGAAAGTTCATTTTGTTCTTATAGACTCCCACTGTGCCGGATCATAAGTTAATGAAAGATTTTCTAATATAACAGGTGGTAACGGGCAGAGTGGCTCTTCAGGATGGCACAGGGGAAAACGCCGATTTTTTTTTAAAGGATCAAATTTCAAACATCTTCCTAGGAATAGGAGTCGATTAATCTTAAAAGTTGCTCCGTATCACTAATTTACCCAACCCAGTCACTTCATGGGCTGGAGGGAGTAAGTAAGGTGCTGAAGCGGAATTTTGATAAAAGTTAAGCGGAATGCAACAGATGCACGCGTGCGTAGGTATGCGAATAGCTGCATAAGGACTTTGCAAATGCGGAAAGTTTAGCTGGAGGGCGCAAGTCAGTGACCCCAAAAATATGATCTCTGCCACTGGAGGCAGATAATTTGACCTGCCTTAAGTCCCTCGGGGCTCCGAAGAGCAGATACAGCCGACCTAAGAAGCTTCAATGCAGAACCTTACAGCAACCCCTTTGCTTCTAAGAACTGCTTTCTGATTTAGCACGCAAAAATGATTCAGTCGTTAAGGATCTACACTCAAATGAAAAGAAGTAATTCTTATAAAATAGGGAGTCCCGAGTTTTTATCCAGGGGAAATTCCATCAACCGCTGTCTGGAGACAGGGCTGGGAAGCCCGTTTTCTCCACATGCTCAAAACAATGAAGTTTAACAGGTGTCATCTGGTTTATCTAGTGAGTGAAGGACTAGCAAAATCCTTCTGTTTTTCTTAAGTATTGTAGGGCAAAACATGGAAGAGTTTAGTTTTAAATGGGTTAAGAAGAAAATGCCTTGCTCTTAAGTGCCCATAGTTTTGGGGAAACACGATTTTCTATGCTTCTTTAAAATAAGGAAAATGTAACATATATTGATTGTAAGAGACAGTATACTAAGAAAACTAAACTTGCAATTATGTTTCAGTTAAGCTGGTAATAGGATCCACTAAGTAAAATGAAGCCTATTCACAGGACAGTAACCATATGTGTTGTCTTTGTTGGGATAAATAGCTACAGGTAAGGGCATTATATTTAATAATCCTCTTTATATTGCCAATTTATCAAATATATACTTATTTCTCCAATTTTGTATATCATAATTAAAATACTAAAACCTGAGAACTGTTCCATATACTTTTTTCTATACAGGATAAAATCTGAGAGCTATTTTCTTATTTTTGTAAAAGTTTTATCATTTGAACCTTGAGTTTCCTTCTTTCTGCTCTCCTATCCAAATTATCTGGAAAGCATGAGGTGACAACTAACCATCAATTTCCCCTAGTAATTTAAGAAACCTGTAGCAACAGATAGTCCCAAAACAGAGAATAGCGAGCTTTTCACTAACTTTATTCTTTATATCCATTACACTAGTGTAGCACTACACTAACTTTATTCTTTATATCTATTGTACCGCCTTAGAAAGAGTTTGTATATTTATTTAAAATAGCAGTGTCTTCAATTCCAAACCTTCATCCGCTTTAAGAGTCCTCTGCTGTCTCATGAAATAACTTCATGATTCTCACACTATCTCAAAAGCACATAAAGCAAAGGATTATACATACATTGCTTGAAAAGTTTACTAAACCAAACCATGTCCTGGGCACCAAATTTTTTATCCAGACTGCTTTCTCATTCAAGCAAACATATTTCCAACCTGACTGGATTAAATAAAGAAAAATATGATTTCCAAAAGTTCCTTGTCTAATGAAATTTTAAATTTGAAAGTGTTGGTTTATTTTTGTGTAAGTACTAGTTTATGCTCACATATATTTTATTTCACATAACCTGTCTGGATGAAATTGTAGAATATGGGGGAAAAAGAAAAATGACATGTTGGGAAGCAGAATCAAATAAAGAAAAACAAAGAAAATATTCTACTTTTGAAAAAAACAAAATTTCATTAGATTGTATACAATGTTGGTGCTGGAACTCTCCTGCAAAGTAATGATAGGGAAAATAAATTTTAAAAATCAAAGAAAATCTTGGGCACTATGACTTGACTAACTTAAGGTTAGATCCTTCCTAACGTATCTATAGTATCTGTTTAAAAGCAGTTAAATTCAAAGGGACTTATTTGGACAGAAGTATGTATAAAACTGTAACTTAAAGAAGCTGGCAGTGAGACTCCGGTATTTGCATTAAAATGCATTTCTGATGAATACTCCCAAAGTGTTAAGTCACTTAGAATTTCCTGCTAGATTTCCCTGTAGTAACAGGTGACATGCTAATACCCTGGTAATACAAATGTGTAACTGCAAGGGTGAAGTGCCAAGTGAAAACTCTATCGTGCTCAATTGAAAATAAATCATCAATCACAATAGCGTGATCAATTATACCTCTTAGCTGCTATGCTGTGGGGTTTGCACAAGCCGCTGACATTGAGAAATTCCTACTTAAGGAGGAGAAACAGACAGGACTCCAAACTTTGCAGCAGGAAAAAAAAGATAATCTGCCTTTGAGCAGGCGGCTATCTTACTTTTCCCTTCCCTATTGTTGTTTCCAAGATCAAGCAGCTCTAACATGTGTGTTCGCGGCTTTTAAAACACCCTTTTGGATGAAGAGTTGCCTTCCCCAAAGTATTCGACATTGAGATTTGAGGGTTTTGTTTTTGTTTTTGTTTTGTTTTGTTTTTTAAAAAAACGATGAACACATAACGCTCAAACGGACATAAAAGGCAAGTGAAATTAGTCGAAAAGATAAACACACCTCTCTAGCTTATGTACTCACCGTTGTTGGTAGGAAGTAATGCCCTGGACGTTTTGCGGATTCCCGTTAGCTGCGGTACTGGCTCTCCCCACGCCCGGGCCGGCTGGTACTCCCCCGGCCGCAGCTGCAGTCACCTGCACGCTGAAATCCGGGAAGATCCGGATCATTCCCGCGGCTCAGCACCCAGCGAGTGTCGGCGAAGAGGTACAGCAGCTCCTCTCCCTCCGGCGGCTGCAGCAGCAGAGCCAGCCACACTGCAATCCCATTAGTGAACAGCGGCCACTGGGAGGGAGGCACAGCGCTTTGATGTGAGCGGCTGGGCTGAGATTGAGTTGAGGGGGGGGGGACTTAAAGTGAAGCGAGGGAACAGAGAAGGTATTTTACCAATTTGCAAACATACAACGCGCCAGGATTTGAAGAGAAGCGCGGAACTGGAAGGTTGCGAAAAAGGAGGCAAAATCGAGAAGGGGGGGGATTCTCTGGGTAGCCTAAACCCGGATTCTGAGGGGCGAAGGGACGGTGAGGGGGCCGCAGTTACTTTAACGCGGCTGTGAAAATGATGGGCAGCAAATGTTGCCTCTTCCCCCCCACACCTCAACCTTCTACTCCGCCCAACCACGCGGAGTCCGGGAGGACTTCTCGGTTTCTCAGAAACACTGCTGACAGCAGCTTAGTGGGCCACAATAAACTGGCCAGGTGCGGGGGAAGGGAGAGAAGTGTGTGTGTGGGGGGGGGAGAATTCCCGGTTCCCAAAGGGAAAAATAATGCGATTGGGAGGAAGAGGCGCGTTACAGAACAAGTTCTTGAGAACTAGCTTTCCTTCCTCTTCTCTCTCCCCCCCCCTCTCTTTTCCTTTCCTTTCTTGTATTCTTTTCTCTATCTTCCCCCTTTTTTTATGAAGCACCGGTTTGCACCCAGAAAAAGAAGAAAAAAACACGCCGCTTTGTGCCGCGGTGGGGCTCGCTCTCTTCCAGAGGGAAGTGACTCTCCTGCCCTCCTAGTGTGCGCCGCGGTTACTGCTACTCAAACTTGGAAGGTAGGGTGTCTGCGCGCGCGGCTGGCTGGCTGCACGCACAGCTCTCCCTCGCTGCTCTAACAAATCGATTAAACCGTTGAGTGCAGTGCAAGAAAGTGGTTGCAAATGCATTATATGAAGCGGGAACAAACACAATAACGCGGGAGGCAGCTCGGTGTGCAACTGCAAGCGAGCGAGCACGCACGCTGTTAACCAAGGTTCTGGGGGAGCTGGTTGCAACGGCGTGCCTTAAGTTGGCTCTTTCAGGTGGGACTTTGTTGTCATTTTAACAGGCGCGGGAAGTTAAGCGATACATTAACAGCAGGGAATCTCTTCCCACGTGTAGGGATTGTGGGTATTGCCAAGTACTTCGCGAGGTTAGGGGCTGCCGTTTCTTTGTGCGCAGGACGGCGTGCAAATTTACATTCCTATTCTCTTCATCCTTTCTAGCTGCCCTCTGCAAATAACGGGAAAACGGGGGAAGGGGCTTGCAAAAGCCGATTGTTGTGCCAGCGATACAGGACTTGGTGAATGTTGCGAGCAGGGCTTTGCAAGGGCGCGGTAAGT